CACGCCCGTGTCACTTCCAGCATGCCCCATGCCAGCCTCTGGAAGCCCAGGACACGCCCGTGTCATGTCCAGCACGCCCGTGCCGCCACCCTTACTAGGATTTTGTCTAGTTACGCCTTTTGTATTATTTTTTAGGGTTTTATGCTTTAGCCTAACCTATAAATAGGTTATTTAAATAGGTATTTTGTATTCATTGGGCATATTCAATCGTTGATCATTATATCTTATCAATTAAAACTGTTTCTTTGAAAGGTTTTAGTTCTCTATTTCTATAAATAGGTTATTTTGTATCATTGGCATATTCATTATCGTTTGATCATTATTCTTATCAATAAACTTCTTTGAAAGTTTAGTTCTCTATTTTATTCCTCGGATTAAACATCATTGATCAAAACTCTTGATGAAGTATAATCATTTATTCCCATTTACGTAACCGTTATGCGTCATGGGAACTCAGCATTGCATTTTTTTTTTCCCTTTTGGAAAAACTCATTTTCAATTGCAAGAATTGAATTAAATTTTTCCTGTACATATTAATTACTAGCAAGTAAATTATGGCTCAATGAATTGTCTATTACAATGACAATTTCAGGCAACAATCACTTTGTTCTTTTTTCTTTTTCTTTTTTAGATTTGTAAATAAAAATGTAACTACAAAATTTAGGTTCCAATTTATACAAAATAAAGTTTATGAAATTCATATCGTGTAGAATTTTTACATAATATAAGTTCTTAAGTAATAATTTTAAATTAAATATTTTTTTATTTTAAAAAATTTTATATGTAAATAATATAATATTTTATTTATGGATTTTTTTAAAAACATATAAATGAATATAGGATAAAAATTAAAATTAATTAAACTACAAATTAAAAGTAAGAAAATATTATGTATATGCCTTGATTTATACAATCGGACATTAATTATAAATTAAATAAAGATTGAGTAAAATCTACCCGTGTGTATAAACATAAAATTTTTTATAGTAATAATTGTAAAAAATCTATTTAGAAAAAAAAGATCCATATAAATTAAAATATTATACAACTGTTAATAGTAACGCATTTATTTATTTTTTTTTAGCTTGACTAACTAATTCTATGATTTAAAATCAAATGGATGTAATACTAATATACATGAAAATATATGATATAAAATTTGGTTATACACATTAGAAAATTTAATTTATCATTAGAAAAAAAGGAGAAAAAATTTTAAGTCAAACATTTAAATTATATAATTTAACTTTCTTTATGTAAAAAGATAATAAAATGTCATTCATATATAGCATGCTTTTAATTGAATAAATACATTATAAATGTTTTCACAATAAAATTAATAAAAAATTTTATTAACTATTGTTTACTAAGATTTTCAACAATTTATTTTGAATAAATAAATTTAATATCAGATAATTATTTATATTTAAAAATTTTTTTATAATATTATTGGAAAGAGTATTTTATATTCACATAATTAAAAGAAATATATTAAATAGTTTATTTTATAACGTAATATGTAAGTAACAAGTTATAGAGCAAATTTTTGATATTGTGATTTGTATTTAAATATTTTAAATTTAATGGAAAAAAGCACCTTCTGTAACAATAATGAAATTTTATATTTTTTACTCTAGTTGTCTATAAACTAGATTGATACTAGGTGTATACCCACGCGATTAGCGAGGTTTTATAAATTTTGAAATTTGATTTTTTTAAAGAATCATGAACACACATTAACTTGGTTTTATTTCCTTCCAAAAAAAAAAAAACAGTTTTAATTCTAATTATCTAAAATACTAAAATGATGCCTATAATTTAATTACTGCCAAATAATTTCTCTCTGTTAATTATATCGCAAATTTTTTTCAATTTAAAATTGTATAATTTAGAGAATAATTTTTAAATATGGTTAATTATAAATTTGGTATCTCAACTTTCTAAAATTTTCTATTTTGGTGTTTCAACGGAAAATATTTGCAATTAAGTATCTGAATCCATAAAAAATTTTCAATTAAGTATTGCTTGCTTACATGACAGACCAGAATTACAAATAGGAAATATAAGATCCACTTGACATTTTAAAAAGTGTTAATTATGTTTAAGTTAATTGACATGTCAGACTCACTTAACACGTCAGAGATATAAAATTATTTTTCCTTCGCCCACCATTTGACGTACTCTCTCTCCTCGTTTATGTTCTTCCCTACACTTTATTTTTCTTCCTCGTTTATTTCTCACTCTTCTTTCTTTGTCTTTTTGCCTTCCTCTAATTTCCTATTTCTCTCTAATCTCCATTATCTCCCTATAAACTTCTATGCTAAGTCCATAATCTCGACCTCTCGCCCCTCTGCTTTCGACACTCTCATGGTAAATGCATGCGCCGCCTCCAATAAATCCCAGTAAAAGTCTTAGTCCACCTCCTCATCCAAGAAATGCAAATCCACTAAAAACATAGGATCTGGCTTTTTTTACGTTGCTTTGCTGTTTTATGCTTTATCTGTTTTTTTTTTTATGAATTTAACCCATTTTGTTTTACTTTTTTTATGTTGTTAATTTCCATATGAATGATGATCTGGCTTGTTTCATATATGATAATATGTTCTTTCTTTCATTTTTTTTAGTAGACAAAGTATTGTAGCTTGAGTTGCAAGAATTGGGATTAAAAAAAATACATTCATGATTCCAAGCACAATATTTTGTTTTCTTTTTCTGGTAATATTACAAACCTTTTGAATTTAAACATCTGTTTGAAAATTTTGATTGCACTATGCTGTACATAGCAATCTAATTTTTTTCAGATTGCTTTAGAATTTGAGAAACTATAGCATCTGAATATGTGGTCTTTAATTGTGTCCATATGCTAGTGCATTTTCCTTTGGAACTAAGGTCTATATACTGCCAAGCTGCTATTACAAGGCTTCATATGATTTTGGTGATTAGATCTGTAGTGCAGAATAAAATAGGTGAAGGAAAGGAAAGAGAGAAGGTTTTCCAATGGCATTCTGATTACTTTGATATATCTATATCTTACTGAGAGATTCACCAAAGATTCAAGAGAAACTTTTTTGCGGCAAATAAATTCATACTAATGATAATTAAATGATGATGATGTTTCCAACAAAAGACACAAGAAACAAGAGAACTTTTTTGCGGCAAATAAATTTCATACTAATGATTAATTAAATGATGATATGTTTCCAACAAAAGACACAGAATATATTAAATTCAGAACTTGTAAGTTACACGGTTTTATAACATTTTTACTAAAAAAAAAAAACAGTTGACTCGAAAAAGAAAAAAGAAAAAGAAGAGGATATATTCATGCAAAAGCACACTAAAAAGACAACTACTTTGATTGTTTTTGGCAATGTAGCCCTTTCAAAAATTTTTTCAAGCTTGATTGGCATTTATACTCAACTCTGTTTATGTACATGAACACCATGGAAATATGCATTATATCTACAGTAAATATAAAAGCACACTAAAAAGACAACTACTTGATTTGTTTTGCAATGTAAGCCCATTCAAAAATTTTTCAAGCTTGATTGCATATACTCAACTCTGTTTATGTACATGAACACCATGAAATATGCATATATACAGTAAATATTTCAGACCAAATTTTTCTCAACAACTGGCATACTTACTAATTGATCTGCAAGCATCAAAACTATTTTCAAGGAAATAAATATTAAATTGTTACCGTCAACTCCAAACCATTTCAAATTTCAGATGGGAATACCCATTTACATAGATATGAAAAATAATAATAATATGACATAAACTCACAACCAAAATGCATGCACAAATAGAAATACATAAATCAGTTGAGAAAAAAATGAACCAAAATTCAGATGGGGAATACCAACTTCATAAGAATAAAATGAACACATATAAGAAAAATATAAATAACTTGACATAGACTCACATCCAGAATACATACACAAATGCAAATACATAAATCAGCCAACAACAAAAAATGAAGCGCCAAGAAACTTACCATCTCCTTGAAGAAGCATATAAGATTTGACTCATTATGAAGTTGAGAATGTTTTGTTTTTCCAAATTCCTAGAAAAGCTATAATAATGTAGGTCAGTGGCATAAATAATTGCAAAATTATTGTGATGTAAGCTTATGTCCAAGTACAATGGTAAAGAACAGGTGTTTCTACTGGGCATTCAAATTAAGACGCTTTCTATTGTAAATTCAAAATATTGCATGCAATATCCTCAGTTTGACAGTTCCTAATTATCTTGATAATTAATATTATCCGGATAGCTAGAATAATTGGGATTATCTTAATTTTAATATAAGGGACTACTAATTGTAAGTTATAATGTAAATTAAAGTTAAATTATGCCATGAGAATTAAATTGAAATAAGGTTAAGTGAGCCTCAATCATGGTGATGGGAAGCTAGCACTTGAAGTTCCTCAATCAACCATTTTGATTTAGTACTTAAAACAATTAATGTTTAAATCAACCTTAAAGTTATGACTAAAGTAGCCAAAACTTTATTCTTTCTTTCGCATTCTAAAACGTAGCTTTCTCTCTTCTTTTCCTTTCTTCTTAATATTTGGCCGAACAATAAAGAGTGAGAGGAGAGCATTTTAAGTTTGGTTTAAAGAAGAAGTTGATTTGAGGTAGAAACAAGCAAGATAGAGCAAATTATGTACCTCTATACGCCAAATAGGCGTTTTTGTTTTTTTATTTTTGAACTGATCTTGAATGGTTGTTCTATTTTTGTTATATATTATGTATTGTTACAACAATCATGAATACGTAAGATAAAAAAAGATAGTGGAATAGAATAAAATATTATTGCCATAGTACAAAATAAAAAATCAATTTGTGGTTTTACAAAGCATGTTTTCTTTTCCTTCAACAATTTTAGACAATTTTTTATAAATATTTAAATATTTCTAAAAACAAACACGTTTGATTTTGAAAATAAGCGAAAAACTAAAAACAGAAACAATACCAAAATGAACCTTAGCTAAAACAAACAGACACAAATCCCAGCACACTTTCTTCATTTCACTCAACGTTGGCCATTTACAAGAGAAAGCATTCCGACAAAAAAATTATTTAGCTATTTCTCTAGCTAAAGAACATAAATAGAGCAAAGGAAAATGGCTCTAGAATTTACACAAAACTACCAAGCCTAAAGAAAAAATAAATCTAATGGATATATTTTTTCACAACGACTTTTAAACGCTAAGATCATATGGTGGTGCATTGAAGGTTGTGGCTGCACTTGTAGAATTTCCTGATGACAATGTTGAACCGTCCGATGACAAATTATAGGCAGATCCAGTCTTTGTTTCAGATTTGGTTGGATTATAGGAAGATGTATTTTTTTGGGGTTTGGGATTAGGGGGGCCTCGAACTTTGAGATCCATGAAATCAGTAATTAAACCTGGTTTTGTTATCTTACTATCATTGACTTCCTTCTCACCAGTAAGCATCTTGACCACTGTAGACATGGAAGGTCGGAGCCTTGGAGCGTCTTGGGTGCAGAGTAAACCAATCTTCAGAAACCTACAGGCCTCCTCAGCATCAAAGTCACCATTCAATGATGTATCCACCAGCCCAACCAGCTCCCTTCGCTCGTAAAGTTCCCATGTCTGTAACAGGAGAACCGCAATGTGATGAACAATGCCTAATCACTTAATTTACTATGGGCACGATTAGTATGCAACTGAAAGAAACATGAGAAACCCTGTGGCCATTTTCCTGATTTTACATGAGACCTAACTTCATTGATGATCTCCAAGGATGCCAAAAAATGGTAAAAAGACAAGAATTACAGATCAACAAGCACGACACATTTGGTGGAAAATTTCCAAAAAGCACTTGGGCCACTTTGCTACAACTTTTACAGGATGCAACATGCATGGGTGGTTGAAAACCAAGCTGCAGAGTTTGGTTGGGTTTAGCATGACCTGAGAGCTGAAAATAATAGATAAGACTCCAGCATCTAAGACAATATGAGGAAGGCATGACTTTCATATTGCTAGTTTTCTTGGGTTAGATTATTGGAGCTTGGAGGTATGACTATTAATGGACCAGATCTTAGATTTCTGATTTAACAAGTCAAAAATGGATTTACTTCAATATGATTCAATATGAATTTGGTACAATTTTTTTTTTTTCAGAGAAATGATATGAAATTAGCATTAATACAGGTATAAATGTTATTTATTATGAATACACAAGTATAAATACAAAGAATGATTTTATCCATGTACGCATGTAAAATATAGGAATTATTTTATGCTTGGAAAAGAAAATATAGCCATTGGATAACTGCGTACAATTTGTCAATGTAATATGTTCTTGAGATATGATCCATTCCGAACTAGTAGAATTGGCACAATGAAAGACTCATATATAGATGTAATGACAGACTTATATATAGATGTAATGACAAAGAAATTACTTCAAATTCATTTAATCTCTTCAACGAATTGTTATAAGGATATAATAATTTTCTTATTTTTCCAAATTAGTTTTGCTAATATGAATTAATTTTTTAAAGATTACAAAAAATATTAATAAAATGGGATTTAGTGTTTTCAGTCAGCATGTTGAATTATAAACTTTAATCCAGTCCGAATCTGATCCATTGACTAATTGGAGATTATGCCTACTTTTGGCAGAAATATGATGAGAATAATATCGAGGATTCTATCAAAAATGGTAATAGGTGAGGGTTGAATTCAGTTTTTAAGAACTTATTTACACCATTTTCCCTTGCCAGGTATCAATATGGTTGAACCAAGATATAGTTTCTTAAACATGCTGGTTATATTATGATGTTAGTGCTATTCAACTTTTAGCTTGTGTTTTTGTAACTGCTTAACTCTGGCTATTATGTTTTCATGTAAAAACACATCAAAATTAAAAAAATAATAGTTCATATATATAACTTTATCCATGCATCTGCCTTTTCATCTAAAGAGTATTATCATAATAGTAATGAGTCAAGAAATTCATACCCGTTCTAAGAGATATTGTTCTTCGATAGGCAATCGTGTATTTGTGTTGCATCTTCCACTGACAATTTCCACAAGGAGGACACCAAAACTATAAATGTCTGCTTTCCTCGTTAGCTGCCCCCTAATTGCATACTCTGGTGCCAGATAACCTCTAAAACAGCAAATGCAGAAATTAATACCAGATCCTATATGCTTGTTCAAACAAGCACAAGCGCATGCATACATAAATGAAATTTAATGACTAAGCTTAAAAAGACAACCCACACGTAAACTTAAAACATTTTATTGCAGCATCAGAATATGATCATATGCTTAAGAAAGCATTTTATTTGCGATGGGTATGTAATTCAAGGAAAATACTGGATTTATTCTGGTTTGGAAAGTAATTATCAACATAGTCAGAAGATTTCATCCAAATTATCAAAGAGTTATAGTGGTTCCCAAATATGCTGGATTACCAATCACTCAAGACCTGACAATAGAACATTCTCATAATCTCAAAAAAACCAACATTCCTTTACCTTAGTCCAAAAACTAGTACGAGAAGTCAAAAAAGAATAATTTAAATGTGCTGATGATATTGAACTTTATGATGGATTTGAATCATGCATATTCACCGTCTAATTCGTGCATCACTATTCCAAACAAACAACAGATATGCAACTGGCACCTTTCCATCATTGTATTCTCTGAGTGAAATTACATTGCAATGTAAAATAATTCAAACATTGACTTGCTGCACCTGACAGCATGCTTAGAAAAAAGAAGTTACATATCAATCAACATAACTGAAAAGTTCGAACTTACATTGTTCCAGCTACACGTGTACTGACATGAGTCATGTTGGGTGGAATAAGCTTGGCCAGACCAAAATCTGAAATTTTGGGAGACAGGTCTTTGTCAAGGAGAATATTGCTAGCTTTGATATCTCTATGAACAATGTGTGGCCGTAAGTCCTCATGGAGAAAGGCAAGCCCTCGTGCCACGCCAATGCATATTCTAGTTCGTGTTCTCCAACTAAACTGAATGTTACTTTGAGTGTGGCCTACTCCTGAAAGGGAAAATGCACTTTAGCAATCAAATTCAACTTGAATGCAAAACAAAGGGCAGTTAGGTATTAAGGCAACCTTTGCGTAAATTCTATTATTTTACACATATAATACTCATGGATTAACAAAGAATAAAACACTAAGAAAAAATTTAGCAAATTTCTAAATAACTTATATTCCAGAAAACTGAAGGATGGAACTACTTTTCCATGTTAAGAGCTACCAAGAGTAGCATGAATAAGACAATAACAAAGGCTTCTCAATGAAGAACAAAGCATTACCAAGAAGAGTTTGTGCAAGACTGTTATTCTCAAGGAAGTTATAGACTAAAATTCTGTGATTTTCTTCCACACAACAGCCATATAGCTTAACTAAGTTTTCATGCTCTATCTCCGAGATCACATTAATTTCCGTTAAGAACTCTTTCGCCCCCTGTCTTGATTCAGCTGAAAGAACTTTTATAGCTGCAATTTTCCCATCTTTAAGCCGTCCCTGACCAAAGATAATATATTTTAAGGAGAGAGTAAAAAAAAAATTACTATGTATAATGCTTTATTAAGGCATGCATTTAAAAAATAATCATGCAAATACCTTGTATACAGAACCAAAACCACCCTCTCCAATTTTATTGGCTGGACTAAAACCTTCAGTAGCATTTTTTAATTCCCTATAGGTGTATTGTTTAACATTGTGAATTCCTGCAACTTCTGTTCAGAAATAGAAACCAATAATAAGAAGCTTTATTATTGTTATGGTAAAAATAGCTATGAATTGTGTAATATGGAAATTATTACGGCAGGTATATTACTCTTTAGAAGAATAATTATTTCAGAAAGATATTCTCATCCAGATACATGAGATGATGAGAATATATTTCAAAACCTACCCACTTACCCCATTATAACACAAAGAAAATGCTTCATTTGCAGCTTACCTTCATCAACTCCCAAAGAATGCTTTGATGAAGAATTACTCTTCCAACCAAATAAAAAAAAGGAACAAGTCATAATTGTATGATAGACCAGTCTTCTCTATCGAATGTCAAAAGATGTCCAAAATTAACAACTTCCAAGATCAGCTAACCTGAATCATCAGACACACATGACTTAGGTACACAGTTTTGCAGCATGAAAAAAATAAATAAATAAGTAAAAGAATCAAGGACAACAATGACTTTGGTACTCTTGACGTTGGAAGTTTCAAATGATGCACTCAAATCCGTAATGCAATAAAAACAAGATTACGTCTAATTAGGATGTTATTTTCTCATGTGGGAACAAAACTATATTAGTATGCAAGTGAGCAAAATCAAAATATGAAGACTTTGCAAAGTTTGCATAATCCCCCAGCCAAGCCAAGAAATATATAAATATACAAGAAAATCTAGAAAAGGCTCTAGCACAGAAACTCAAGCCAGAAGCAGTACATTGAGAGACACATACACCACATAAAGCCATAAGAATGCAAATGAGAAGGTAACAATGATTAATAGTCCTATAAAGTCGAGAACAGAACATAACACAAGAACAGGAAGCTGTAACACCATTTCAAGTATCCAACCCAAAACAAAATATAAAGGCATGTGATAATTCTAATGCAACCAACTTGTTTAATATTAACAAAAAGATCAAGGACAAGGGGCAACAAGGAAATGCCTAAGAAACTATCCACTCCCACACTTCTGATAAATTCCATCAAAACACCACAGTCAAGCCTTTCATCTAATTCTGCTGTAAATGTAGAATAATACACCTCCACAGCTTAAGAGACTCTAATTCATGTTTGATAGCTGAAGTCTATTAAATTTTTTTTCCTTCACAAGGTTGAAACACTGCACCTCCATTTCTGCTTGGTTGAACTCCTACTGTTATTTTTGTCACTAGTTTTTTATGATACATCTAATTGACCAAGGGGCAATAAATCAGAACTTATCTGGAACCCAAAAGACTTATTTGTTGAGAAAGCCAAAAAAATGCAAAGAATTGCATTTTATAAAAGTGCAAATTGAAAGTAATAAATTTAGCGGATTTTAGTGCTTCTAATTCACAACTAAATTCAGTTGTATGTTTATTTCCAATGCACAAGAGACTTTCATAAAATTGATTAATTAATAAATTTCAAAATATTCCTAATCCTTCATAGACAAGAAAATCCTAGCTCAAGTTAAAACACGAATAATCTTTATAAACAATGACAAGTATGCTTCCACAATTCAGTCGTAGCCTTGATGTTTCTAAGACATAATTAGTAACCCAACAAGAGGCAAACACCTCTGATGCTAAATATACAATCTTTCACTTAAAATGAACTTACCCAGCAGAAATCGTTTAAAAAATCAGACAGAGAAAAGAAAAAAAAGATACTGAATTTGAAATTGAAGCTTGGAATTAGCATAGCCCAGGAAAACAAAAAGTCAAAGAAAGATGAGAACAGATCAAAAGTAGAATAAGACTAATAAGAGAGGCTTACCTTGAAAACCCAGAAAGAAGAAGAAGAAGCAGAGATGGGTTGGTTAAGAACAGAGAGAGATTATAGGAGGCGTTCGCTGGAGGTGAGGTGAGGTATGAATTAGAAGGGAACAGGTGGAGAAGAGAAGCAGTGTTGGCAAAGTCCATGAAGGAACGCTCACGTTCTTTGAATCTTCAATTCCTCAGCTTGACTTGACTTTTAGCATTTGAATTTGTCGATAATCTAATTTAATACTAGTGCTACGACTACTCCCTTTTCACTTTTAACTTTTCCCTAAAACTAACAAAAAAAGGAAAAATGATTTTATCGTGTTTATTAATCCTATAAATAATTATAAAAGACAAAGTTGAATAGATACATACATTTAGAGATGGAAGTGACCACTCCGTTCCGTCTAACGAAGATATGAATAGATATTAGTTAGTTAGGATGAATACGATTGCTATCCACAATAAATATGGGTAGGGTATGGATATTAAACTTTATGTACTCGCTATTCATTATTCCTTATAATAAACGGTTTTGATAATAAATACTTGCGTATTGTACTCATTTATTAGTAAAAAACATATTTTAAATAAGTTTAGATTTGAATAGTTTAAAATGTGCAGATACTATATCCGTTTAAGAGGTATTTTAAATAAGTTTGAAACGGATAAGGGTAGTAAAATTTTAAACGGATTTTGATATGGATATTTAAACGAGTTCAAGACGAATATGAATAGTAAAATTTTAAATAGATAGGGTTACGGATAATTCAAAATTTACGGGTATCCTCCACTTCCATCCCTACATATGGTGTAATATGCTATTATTAAAGAGCAATGCTAAATGGTTGAGTCTGACTCTACGAGAATCTTTGGTTGTGCATTTACAGCGACAATGTTTTATTGCACTTTATAACTATAATATTTTATTTGTATAGTTGCGATTTACTTAGTTGCCCATTAGTAATGATTTTATTTGCAATCATTATTTCTATTAGAAAAAGTGACTCCCTATAACTACAATGATGGAAATGAATCGAATATGTATCCTGTGTCAGGCGGCATACTCACACAAGCCACTGGTCCTCATCCAATCATATTGTATCTTGAAATAATAATATCTAATGTGTTGTCCTTCATGGAAGAGAGGTGGGATGAAGTTAATTTAAAAAAAAAATTAATATGAATGTAATGTCATGACCAGGAATGTGTAAATAATCTGTATAATAGTGAGAATAAGAAAAAGAACATTGGGATTGATAAAAAAATATGGTTACTTTAGTAATGAATACATTAAAAATGTTGGATATGAATACATTAAAAATCGCTATAAAAGTAAGATTGCTTATATTGATTTTATAAATTAAAATCAATATTTCTCTTAATATTTTATAATGCCGAACTAATGTTTTTAGCTTTCTAATATTAATTAATAAAATCATCTTATTTTTTTAAGGAGTATATTAATTTTTATTAAATTAATCAACTCAATGAAAAGGAATATTGTACCAAATTTTACCTCCTAATTGATAATAATACAACATTTTATGTGATAATAATGATATTATTTGTATTCCAATTGTCTATATTTTCGATCATAATATATCAATGACCTTTTCTACAAGAAATATTAATTAGGTGTCACGACCCATTTCCATGGGCCGGACCGGCACTAGGGCCCAGGTAAGCTTAAGGCCCCCGAGACCCATAGTAAGCCTGAAACACTACAAATTTTAAAGGAGTATATTAATTTTCATTAATTAATCAACCAATGAAAAGGAATCATTCTGTTACCAAAATTTTACCATCCTAATTGATAATAATAACAACATTTTTATCTGATAATAATGATTATTATTTGTATATCCAATTGTCTATATTTTCGATCATAATATAATCAATGACCTTTTCGTACAAGAAATATAATTAGGTGTACGACCATTTCCATGGGCCGGACCGGACCTGGGCTCCAGGTAAAGCTTAAAGGGCCCCCGAGACCCATAGTAAGCCTGAAACACTACCAAATTTTGCGTTTATCTGCAATATAATTTTAAACATTACAAATCCCTGCTTACAATACGCTAATTTTATAAATTACGGGCTCACAGAAATTATTTCCATCTATAATAATTCTACAGCAAACTTAAAGTATTCTACCAAATTCTATAACTCTATAACTGCGGAGTTTACTGACGGATGTATACATATAAGTCTTCGGACATTTATCTAATCTATTTAATTGATCAATACTAAAATTAGTGAATTTCTTTTTTAACGGTGAAGAGCAGAGTTATAGCTGGGATTTAGAAAATGCTACTTCCTGAAAGATTTGAACAAAAGAGATGTGAGAGTTTATTAATGAATCATAATTATTGCACAACACACGCATTCACACAATTGTATAAATATATCAACCTAGTCATCCGACTAAGTATATGCTCACACAGTCAGTCACACAAATGGCATATCACCAGCACTCACAATTATTAACATCTTCATATAATCACATCACGTGGAAATTAATCAGTGAGTCACCTAACCCCCGATGAGCCGCTCGCCATCCACATGTGGCTGCATCCTCTGCACATGTGCACCAAGGGAGCCGAATCCCCCATACTTCGCCGGACCGGTTCTAATCCTCACGTTACCAGCCCTCTCAATTATTTTCCCATTCTCTCGTTTCTTTTCCATACAGAACAGAGGGCAACCCGTCGTCTCCATCAAAATCTAGCATCAGGCGCTCACAACAGGAGGCCATGCCTGCGGGCTGCGATCCAAATCTAGATTTATCGGTGCGCCCAATAAAGAAAGGCCCAAACCTGTGGTTAACATAACGAAGGTAACGTAGGGTGCACACTTGAACTGTCTGTAATCGGACTCTCGCTGCCGCGAAAGATCTCCATTTACCCTGGCTTAACAGAAACAGAATCAGGGATCAATAACAGAATCAGAATATAACAGGGAATCGTAGACGTCCAGCTGAGATCGCCGCAGAGCTCAGCTCTGCCTACCATTCGCGCACTAGGGCCAATAGTGAACATTGCTTGCAATGATCCAGATCTCAAGGTTAACCAGTGGCCAATAGTGACCACATTCTCCTCTAATCCTTTGTCACTTGCCGCACCTGCTACCACGTGCCGTCACGCACTGTTCTCTCAATTCAGATGCGACAGACACATGCCTTATACGATACCGCATGAACTGGAACACCTGAATCTATGCGATACCATCGATGATAAAGTGGTCGTATCCCAAGTAAGTAGTCATAGATCCTACTAGTCTCCAAATTACCCATCTTCTGCTGTCTCACGCTCACACTCAATCTCCTCGCTCTGCAAAGTGCAACAGATCTCAGTCGAAAGAAACGTCGCGGTGCAAAACAGCTGGTCGATACTGTCGGCATTATACTTCGTAGATACCACTACGTACCTCATAACCATCTGATACATAGTCTGCGGCATAAGGCATGACCATCACCTCAGTCAACCAATATTCTCATCTTACTAGACTAGGCGACACAAATCTAATATGACAAAATGCTCAAGGAGTACGTCCAGTCTGACTAGAACACATCTGATGTGCTATCACCGTAGAAAATAAATAATAATAATGGAAATAAACAATAACAAGAAAATAAATAAGTAATTGAATTAATTAAAGTAAATAGTAATGATAGTAAATAATTAGAATACTTTATTTATTATGTATTTAAGTTATAGAATTATGTTATAGAATTATTCTAAATAAACTTATTACTTTATATTGTTAACTAAAACTAGTCTAAGTTCTATCGAAATTTCGGCAACACCTCCCCTAAAAATTGGGCTATTTACCTACTCAAATATCACAATAATATATATATTAATCATTCAATGCATACAGCCCATCCGTCGGGCGATCAAACAGTTAAATTTTCCTTCCTCCATCCAAATAATAATGTCAACATTCAACTATTAATTCACAACGTATAATAACCTTCAAACGTGTTCCAATAATATTACTGAACATTCTTTGCTTCACATAAATATAATCAGCTTCTTTAGCTAATTGACAAATAAATGAATGTTCAAGATAAGCTCGTAGTACACTTATGTTATTTTATCATCCCCAATAACCCACCAAGGCCAATTTTTAACAAAAAAAACAAAACGGATCAACTTACGTGCTATAGGGCCTACTCACCATCCCCGAGTGAGATCCTCGCAGCATTAATCTGCTTCACGGTCTATCAGTATAGTATTACGTAGATGCGGATCACCTCTACGATCTCATCAAATCCAGTGGTGGCTATCTTCGTCTTCGATCTCTTTCTATCCGCTCATGTGCTCGCGCACTTTCAGTATCACAACGCCTGAATAGTATTACGGCTGCGATATTGTATCAACACAGTTCGGCCGTGTTATAGCATTCTGCACATTACTGATCCACACATGATACTCTCGACTGGCGAGAGACCTCTTGTGGTATGCGGATCTATGCTCCATTATGGCGACTCATGCTATAGGCAAAGAAATGATTCTCGCGAAGCTCTAGCGCCTAATACACGCGTATATATCAGTATACTCCTCGCTGCGGAGATGCAATCATACTCGCTTCCACGCGGCATACGCATCCGCCAATGACACATATGCCTTATCAACCTCTTCAGGTGTATCGATTAAGTAGCATGAACTAACTCCATCTGATGAGACGCCCACTACGTCACTCATCAATATTCTGATGCTTCGCTACCGCTCCAGTCACCCTGACTGATCGCTACTCGCTCCATAGATCTACACCATTCCTCATGCACCAACGACCACTGTTGTTATGGTATCTATTGTATCTCGTGAACATGCTGTCATCCGAAATCTGTCAGAACGCAGATAGCCAGGATCAGTTAGCAGCTCTATAATATGGATAATTTCATACCTGTTCCTGTGGCATCGTCAATGGATGCTCTTAGTACATTACACTCCTCCCTTATGTCTAGTAGTCTACTATAAATTGTTTGCTCCAACCAGTTGCCCTCTGTGACGATGATATTTGCCAAAATCTATCTGTGTACGTCTATAAAAAGCTGAGCAAAGTGACTCGACTGTTGTGTGATTCTATACTCTATTCATCGATACTCAGTATACTAAGAGTATCGCACTCGTCCAGTACTAATCCTTGTGCTGTGTCTATAGGAATTCATCACTCTATTATACTCTAGTACTAGGGAGCTTCTCGCCGACAACCGCT